AGAACTTTTGGATAGCCCTAAGTATTTCCGTGTCATCAGCTACAGCAGCTATATCGTGTTTCACATTTTAATCCTGTAGGGATTGCGCTAACAGCTTTTATTTTATTGCTCTTGAAATTAATGACTTGTTCTATTGTTCGTTTGTATTTCGCAAACAATGACATTTCTTTTATTATAAAAAATGCATATCATCACTATGAGAAAGTAAAACATGACATGTTGTCCTTGCATACGTCACTCTTACAAGGTTGTAATCCATTGGTAACTGGCGACATATATATACGTCATGAGCTTGATCATCATGTAAAGTGAATGCAGTTACTTATGATACATGTTTTATGGATGCATTTGCGTAAAAATAGTCGTCAAGCAGCAGGAACTTGCTATATCATCATAGTTTCCTACGATAAGAAACGAAAATCTGCGTGGTGTGCAGCCACTCTATTTTACCTGTTTATCTTTTGTCGGTAACCAACGAGTTAAATATGTTTTTTCTGCTTAATTCTATTTCATTTTGATTCTCCTATCATAAAGAATATTTCTTACAGTGCTTATTATTAAAAAGAAAGAAATTTTACTTTTGGATGATACCAATGAACTATTTTGTTGTACTTTCCTTGTTTACATGGATGTAAGTATTTATTCAGCATGTTTCTTCTTTTCTTCCTTCTATCGTATATATTTTCTTAACGATGGTAGATGATCATTTATATTTTTTCGTTTCTTTCTACATACATAATCGAAAGTAGTTTAAATACGACAACAAACCAGTTTAATCAACAAGATATTATCACAGTACGAGTGAGATTAATTGAATAAACAATTTAATTTTCAGCTTTTTAAGTTGAGAACAATTATATTATTCTCACGTAGTGAAACAGGTGCAGTCATTATTTTCAATGTTTCTGATATTGGTACAGAAAGTATCTGATATTCATCTTTTAATAACTGTTTGAACTGCCATTTTCTTTGCTAGAAAATTAATTAAATCAAGAAAAATATTAAAAGTAACCATGAGCTCTACATATTTAAGCAATTAAATTTGTACTGTTTAACAAAGAAGACAAGATATCTTGGTAGTACAAGAAACATAAGGCATTGAAGCTGCAATAACAATGGGGGATAGAGAGAAGGTTGTGCATGTGAATAGAAAGAAAGAGACACTGTGAAAGTCGTAACGAGTTGAAAGAACTAAACTTCATCATATTTCGAAATTAACAAATAATTTCATACCCTTTTCGTTTCATTTTAGCGTCACTAATGGAACTGGATTAGGTATGCATGTTCATGTTGCAACCCTGTTCAATTCACGCAAAACCATTGATAATCACAAATCAACCAATCTTATAGCTATTACTGAAATATATGATCCATCAGTGAACCAATGGACTACTACTGCAAGCATGGCAACACCACGTGAATATCATACTGCAACTCTGCTCAATTCGGGCAAAGTTCTTGTCACCGGTGGCGAAGGATACACCGGTTATATGGCCAAATGTGAAATATATGATCCATCAACTGGCCAATGGCACGCTGCTGCGAGCATGACAACACCACGTGCTTTTCATACTGCAACCCTACTCAATTCGGGCCAAGTTCTTGTCACTGGTGGCACCACCTTCTGGATAAACACTGCTCTGAATAGTTCTGAAATATATGATCCATCCACGGATAAGTGGAGCCCTACTGCAAACATGGCAACAGCACGTTCTAGTCATACTGCAACTCTACCCAATTCTGGCAAAGTACTGGTTACTAGTAGTGCGGCTAGTTCAGAAATATATGATCCATCAACGGGCCAATGGAACGCTCCTACAAGCATGGGCCCAACAGCGCGTTATGATTCTACTACAACCCTGCTCAAGTCGGGCCAAGTTCTTGTCACTGGTGGCGTCGAATCAGCCAATTATCTGGCTAGTTCTGAAATATATGATCCATCAACAGACCAATGGGACACTATTGCAAGCATGGCAATAGCACGTTCTAGTCATACTGCAACTCTGCTCAATTCGGGCCAAGTTCTTGTCACTGGTGGCGTAGGAGATGCTTTGTTTTTGACTAGTTGTGAAATATATGATCCATCAACGGGAAAATGGCACAATATTACCAGCATGACAGAAGAACGTTCTTCTCATACTACAACCATGCTCAAATCAGACAAAATTCTGGCCACTGCTGGTTACGGATATACTGGTTACCTGAATAGTTCTGAAATATACGATCCAACAACAGGTAAATGGAATCCTGCTGCAAGACTGTCCATAACAGGTGCTTTTCATACTGCAACTCTGCTTAATTCAGGCAAAGTTCTTGTTACTGGTGGCGAAAAAATTAACAGTTATATGATTATTGCCCATCCAAAAAAGAATAGCCTATGAACATTCTTTTATAAACTAACAATAACGATAGCTAGAAATATGACTATGCCGATATTAATATCATCTTCTGCTGGTCTTCCTCTCCTTTTTGCTTCCTATTCTCTCTCTATTATTATTTCCAGTGCTTATCTCTCTCTCATATATATATAAGCGTGTGGTGTGTTGTGAAGTAGTTATACCCTGAAGATAGGGAGTAGCTCAATAAATACCACTATCGAAGCTGTGGTAAAGCGATTTTTCCAGTTTGTAGTTACAATGAAGTTTCAGACATTGAAAGAAGAGTTCATGGACCATCTTTTACAAGCGAAAAGATTTTTCAAAACCTTTTTTGAAGCCAGTCGTTGAAAGGATCTCTAGAAAACTTATGTAAAACAGAAAAATTTTAAATACTCAACTATTGGGATTTTTACATTAGTAGAGAGAAGAAAATTCTCTCCTCAAATTTGGAAGTAAGGAATTGCCTGAAAATCTGTAATTTAGGCAGGAAAACAATTTTTCCTTTTGAGTCCACAATTGGGTATCTTGCACTTTTGAAGTGTTAAAACATGTCCGATTTTTTATTCTCTCTACTGAAGAGAGAGTCATATGCAATAAAAGATGTTTATATGCTTGTTTGCGTATAAGAAAATCGGAACTAGCGAGATGACACAATATTTTACTTGATAAGACTAGTATCAAATAGATTGATGTTAAATTAAATCTTCAAAGCAAAACAGTTTATGAATAATCTACACGCATTAGTAAAAAATAATGAAACAAATGAATGAATGATTAAAATATTAGCTGCGAAAAAGTTTATTTTTGAAGTGGATGATTATTAATATTGCAAACCCCAACTATTTTTTTTTACATTTTAGTCTGCATTACAGAGTCATAAGTCAGTTATACATTCACATTTTGCAAAGTTCTCATATATCATACAATTCGACACTTGATAGAATCTTATTTCGTTCATAACCACCAGCTACTAACACTGTTCCATTAAGTAATAAAGATGCTGCATGATATTCCAGTGGATAGCTCATATTTCCAGACAATGTCCAACTTCCTGTTAACAGATTACACAGTTCATTTTTAGATGATTTATCAGAACTCTTCACATCATTAATCACTAATACTCTTATATCAAGTAGTAGAATCCCTAAACAACTTTGTTATAGGCATCACTACTGAGAGCAAAATATAACTGACTGATTTTTCACTGGCTGATGGTCGATTCTTAGAACCTAATAATACAATTCAGTTTTATTTAGTTGTATTTTGTATCTGCTATGTTTTGACTATTTATCAGAAATTTGCTAATAATAATATTATCAGAACTTCTCATTTCATAATTTTATTACCTCAAATACCAAATCTATGTCTTTGGATGACATTAAACAGAATGTAAGGTTAATTTTTTTTCGCAATAAGAACGCTCCAGCAAATGTCGGAATTCAGTTTCTCACACAAATATTTGCAGTTTCCTTTAATTTTTTGTTTTACCAATATGATT